CTAATTTTTCGCTCTCCCCCTCGCGAGGATCCTCGTGTCCTGCTTCTTTTAGCGCGGCGCCCGCTGGACCCTAGTCTCTCTTCCCTGGCCATCGATGCTATCGGCAAATCTTCAGAAGAAACACATTTTTCCGCAAACTGCCGCGCTACTGGCGCTTTAACCCACCCACCTCTCGTCCTTTGAATAAAAAGGGAACGGCTTGAAAATTCCGAACAGGAATCGGTACATTGTTTGTCTTCTCTCGTCCCGTTGCTAATATCCTGAGACTTCCTTTATACGCTGCACAGTTTCTCCCGATAGAGAGATTTAATCTAGCAGAATGATTTTCGGAATAACAAGTTTAATAGCGAAAGTTTTAGCCAGATAATTTATAAGATCGTTGCGAAAGTGTAAGCAATGCGGCTCGATACGAGAGTGACACGAATTGATAACATAGATAACGGGTATAATGACTGATAATATCGGTAATAAGTGTCTTTGTCAGAACATAATGGTCCTGGCCGATTGTTAACTTAGCGTTATTTAGAAAGCGAAATTCTGCGGCAATAAGTTCCGCTCGAGAGCTAGTCCCGAGCAATCGCAGGAATTTCAATCAGACGGTTCACGAGTGTTAGCGAAATTCGAAACACAATCGTTCGAGGGCCAAAGTAAAAAGAGTCGGAAAAAAACGATAACGACGCCCGTGTCGTAAGAGTTTAATGTTTATGCATGGGCTGCGAAACGAGCCCAGCCGAGGAATAATGCATCTGTAACCAATTATGCGAGGAGAAGCAGCGAACACCGGTGAACGAGGCGAGAAGAAAAGTAAACGGGAATCGAAAATTTTCACCGATTCGAAATTACGACATCGACGACTAAAAGCGGAACACTAATTCTTCGAACATGTGGTTCATCTTCAAAAAAAAAAAGAAGGAAAGAGGAATCCGGAGGATCCTTTAAATCCGTTTTCACGGCAACCGCATAAGTCAGAAACGATTTTTCTCAAAGGCCGGCTCCCTCCGCGTCTACGTTATGACATATATACGGAGCTCAAAGGGGTCTCCGATGGTGGGGGTGTAGGAACGTAGAGAACGGAGCGAGGGAGGGGATGGGGGCACAGGGAGAAGGAGAATAAGGCCCTGAAGGGTCCATGGCTCGGAGTATATGCAGAGAACGCGGTGCACCAGTTATTTATTGTAGCTCCCGTTTATGCTTTATTTGTTATTTGCCTGGTCGACTGGCTGGCTTGACTGCCAACCCACGTAGGTGTACCAAGTACCTACGAGGGTACCTTATCTACCTTCCAGACATGCGTTACACAGCCGTTCGGCTTCGTTCAGATGAGCCAGATTCGCATAATTGGCCGCTTAATACGGACCACCTTTTTTTCTACTCTTTCTCTTCGACGGCGACGTACAACCATCGAATCGAATACAATTTTTTCGTCTGACCTTTGGGTGGCTTTGATTCCTCGATGACCGTAACACGAGGTTAATGAGATCTTCTCGGAAAACTGAGATTCGAAGCTTGTACTTTGCTTCCGATCGACGGTAGATACGTTCTGGTTGGCTCGCGTTTTATCACCGCGCGTTCTGTCGTTACGCGTTAATCTCGTGCATTGTACCGCGATAAACGTTCGAGCGCGAACTTGTAGGTATATAAGTTTTCGATAAACAACTTCATTAATTCAGCGTTTCCGAGGACGCGCATGTACGTCGTATCGAATGATTGATCCCGTATAAAACATTTGTCAACGGGAGGAATCGATGCTTAACTGGGCGTAACAGGATTGTAAAGTAACCAGTCTTGAACATGAAATTATTTCATTAAGGCTTATCGATCAAGGAGTTGATCGAACGTGAAAATTTTCGGGGGTTGTCCGAGTATTATAACGCGACACGATAGAACTCACGATTTAAGCTGTTAATTAAATTGTATTTAACGCGAATTAATGAGCGTACGTATCAACGAGCCTGTTAAGGCTGCACCGTAAATGAATGTCGAACAGGTGCAACTCTGGCAGACGTGGTTCACGGATGTCGACGGTAATTGTTCGAGTCGTAAATCGCTCGTAATTGTTAAAGCTTGTCCCTGGTATTCGATGCTGCACGGTGCGTTCGCTGAAATTTTCAAGCGAGGAACACGAACTGTTCGTTATTAAACAATGCTAAAACGATGAAGATTGAATGAAATTTTACCGGTCCCGTTGGCGATGTATTTTCTAAATTGCTTTCTAAACTACTCGAGGAGCGGTGCCAGCATTGTTGAATGTAATTGAAAAGTCCTAGTTAAACGTGCGACGAGCGTCGCTTGTTCTCCAAGAAGCCACGACTTTCGAAAATACGAGAATGCGGGATTCCATTAATATCGATGATGGAATAACGCTTCGAGGTGTAGAGGGCAATGTTCTCTTTTGCCGATTTCGAAGATTCGAGAAGTATACATTTGCGAAGTATACGACAGAGTATAGATCTAACTATTTGATTATTTCATCTGTCAGCGAATAATAGTTTGAAAAGCGATGAATAGGCAACGTTATCGTTTCGGAAACGAATCGAGAAACGGCGGAAGAAAGGGACGGGAGACGGTCAACGGTTCTGTCACGATTGCATCGTGTTGCAGTAACACGTTACTCGCACGCGTGTAACCAAGCTGAAAGTTAAGTCATCCGTGTCGTAACGACGTTCTTAAGAGTGTCTCGACGACGCAAGGTGGTGGTTCGTCGGTAAGACCGATGTCAAACAACGTGAGAAGCATGATACAGTCAAAAGGGGCGAGAAGAGGAGTATCGAAGAGGGGAAAGAAGGAAAGAAGTTCGAAGGAGATGCTAAAAGAGAAGGTTCTCCTGGAAGGGTGGGAGGGCGAGAAGAGGGCCAACAGAGGGCCGAAGACACCGCGAGAAAGAGAGAATAATGCGTTAAAGCAGCAACCAGCAACTACTCTAATTGGCCACTTTGTCCATTTATTCGATTTATTTAAATTATGGGACAATTGACAGTAGGCATTCTATTTTTTAAATCTCCCCGGCCAACCGGCTGATTGGGCGAGATTGGCGTGAGACACTGGCCCCACAGATTCCCCAGTTGTGGGCTTAATCAGCTTTGATTGCTGCCTTCTCTCTCTCTCTCGCTCTCTTTCTCTCTCCTCTTCTCTTTCTCTTTATCTCTCTTCTTACTCCTCTCGGTGTCTCTTTTTTTCTTCTCGGTGTCGGCGAACGAGGCACGGTCGTCGAACAATGCACAATTTTATTTTATTCCGTTTCAGCGTGGATCTTGCGACCAGTTTAATATCGTCCGGCAGCTCTAAACGTTGATTGGCCGATCCGAAATTGTGGGAATGTGCCTCTGGATAACAGAGACACTGGACGGTAGCCGCCCACTCCTCTCTTTCTCTCTCTTCAATCTTCTATTCTCTTTTGTCAAACGGTTACCATAATTTCCGCTGACAGTGTCAACTTTTCGAACGAGAAACATTTCCATTGGTACATCGGATTGGAAAATTTTCTCAAAACCTAATGCTAACAATATTTTCTTCCGACTAAACAGCGGATACGAGTCATCGAAACAGCATTTTCGCAACAAAACAATAGCGTTTGAAATTCGGCTACGTAAAAGGAAGAATGTATCGAAGGCAGCTAGAATGGCATCCGGGTTCTATAAACGAGTATCGATACGATTACGTAACGTCTCGGCTCTCTATCTCCGCGATGTCCTATAATTAATGAAATTCCCATCGAGTCACTGACTTCTCTATCCCTTATAGACCGATCGATCGCGGTGGCACCGTGGTCGATCTAAAATTAAACTCGCGTCGTTCGAATACGTCTCTTTTGTTTAGGGACTTTTTCGTCCCCTTGTACGCGGCGATGGTCGTTACGATGCTTGAAATCGAAAGAAGAAAAGGAAAGTGGCGTTGGCAGTCTCCGAGATTCCGCGCGGAGTTACGTGCTCGCTTGGGAAGTATGATTTTTCGAAGACGAAGCGATCGGAGGGTACGGGTGATGGGGGACCTGCATGAATCCGTTTCCACGCCATGGTCTTCCTCTCTTTCCTGATCGTCCGCGGACAGGCAACAAACCCCCTTCAGCCCCCTCGTGGGACCCACTTGCCACGTTCATTCTATTTCCTTGATAATTCCCATAATGCTGTGGGCGGATATTCCAATAAAGGGGGAAGAGCCCCCGGCCACAAAACGCTGAAAGCATGGGACACGACGACGACTCGTTTCGTCAGGTTGCACACGATTTACGAGCCTCTGCTGGACTTCGATCGAATAAATACAAGACGAGACGCGCGCGTATGTAGGCACGTCCTTCCTTCGGCGAGATTCACGGATGTGCCACGTGACCGTGGGAATTGATAATTAACCCCCCAGAGATGCGGGACCATTGTGCACCGTGCGTTTAAGTAATTTCGGTTTTCGTCGGAAAACCGAGTCAGATTTCACCCTGTCAAAGTTTAATCCGCAGTTTCTCAAAGAGATTAAAAAGGCACCCAGTCAATTTCGATCCTAAGACTATACACTATGTTTTCATGCGGTAACAAAGAGTTACTCCTGTCAACACGTTGACTAAAGTAAATAGAATCGATTGCGTAATGAAGAGAAATGTTTGAAAGCCGCGAACTGTTCTCCGATACGATCAGAGTCAACGTGTTAAAAGGAAACTCCACCTTCACCTCCGTTCCCAAAAAGTTGAAGTATTTATAAAAATTGATTGATTGATTGATTGTTGAAAGTTGCACCGAATGAAGATCTCTGTCTCCTCGTTAATAACAGGTTTGAATTCGCGACAATTAAGAAAATAAAAAAGGAGCGTTATATCGACTGGTTCAACCAGATCGTGATGGTCAATTTGAACGCGATGCACCGTTGCCCGCGACCCCTTCGATATATTTTTCTTTTTTTCTCTCTTTCTCCCTCCTTTTCCTGTCGAGACGCATGGGTCGTCGAACGGCAAACACTCGATTTGAATCTAATTACGATCCCGATAATTCCGTAAGGAGGCGGAAATAGTAACTCACCGGAAACCTTCAGGTCAGCTGCCTCCACCTTCATCGCCGCCAGGCTCGCTATTGTCGGCGGTACCTAAAAAGAAAATACATTACGATGTACAATGCACCAGCATGCTCAGGGCCGTGCTCGCCAACGGAGACGAAAGGGGGCCGCCCACGCAACTCGATGGGGGAGGGTTAAGGGGGTTGGAAAGGGCAGAGTGCACCTCTATGAGTCCGCGACACGTGTCGTTAAAAACTTCAATAGCTCCAAATTATCCGGGCTTCGCGTGGACCTTTTGGGAAAATCTCCCCTCGGAGATTACGATTTTTCTGAGCGTACTACTCGAGCTTTTTTTCCTTTTTTTTTCGTTTAGAGAGCTACTGGTGCACGTGAATTCGTCGGCTGTCCCTTGTGCGATGATCAGTTTCGCACACGTGGCAGCTGAGAACTTTTCGTGGAAAACTTTTGCTAATCAGACCCTTTGGACAAAATACAGTTTCTATTTTAGGCCCTCAAATTCTTCCGTTTTTACAATAACAGTTTCTCTTTCATTTGCCCACTTAATACGACAGTATAAAATGAAGGTATCAAACGTTCGAATAAACTTTTCCTAACTGTACACGTTAAGCTCTACATAGTGGTCGATTGTTATTGTGTAAAGAAACATTTAAGCCGTATGTGATCGACACAGATACGATCCTGCACGGAATTGAAACCGTTAACCTTTACTCGCGCTTCGAATTTTTGCGACGGTAGAAACTGTGTCTTGATCGTTACGACATCCTCTTCGGGGCGCTACGTGAAGCGGAAACGACTTCCGGTTCCTCGAAAACGTTCGAGAATCCAAATATCGGGTTGATTGCTAAGGTCAGCGACCTTTGCAAATGTTCCACATGCAAAACTCGCACGGCACATCCGAAAACGAGACATCTCATTAGGTATTTTTGAAACGGAGTGATTGATAAATAATCGCGTTGGTGGATCGAAATCAATTATCCTGTACAATTTCACCGAGAGGATAAAAATTATGCGAACGAGCATCGTTTCAGAGGGTTAAAATCGAGAAGAGGTTGATAAGAAAAAAGTGAAGAACGTTGAGAAGCGCGAAAGGGACGCCACAGTTGCCCGGAAGCCCCATCGCGGTGCAAATTATTCGAATCCTGTACGATTTCCGAAGCCCTATCTAAGATGCCGATCCGTGGCGTCGTTGAATTTATGAAAGCGATTGCTACACTGTGTCTATCGTTTGTCTTCTGTCTCCGCCCATCGTTTCCATTTTCTACGCGAACGTGCCGCGTCAATTTTCTTCTTCATATACTCCCGGGAGAATCGAACGCGTCTCACGTGCACGACAATCGCGTTCCATCGATTCCCTGGACAACGATCGACCATTTATATTCCGTCTTCATAATTATCGGCGGCCTTCGATGCCCAATATTATAGGATCGATGTGCGGACCGAATGGTAATGCGACGGGAAAAACATTCGTGGACATTTCCGCGGGAAATCGAATCAATTTTTTTTTTTAACAATGAATATTAATACCGGAACAAATGAAACCTACAATAGATGTTCCAATGACGGTGATTATTCAATTATCGATACTCGAATTCTTTTGTCATAAAATTGACTATAAATTGACGCGATCACTCACGATCAATCATCAACTACCTCGATCACGTCTTTACCGCTCATCTTTTGAAAAACAATAGTTAATTTATTCAAGATTCCTCCGCGCGATTTGAAGATTATCGCAGTTCGTTTTAGAAATTGTAAAATATTTCGCGGTTTCTTCTATCGTTTTATGGTTTATGGAATTTTTTACTTTCTAACCTTAAAGTTCTCGAAATCGTTAACCTACATCCGGCAATAAAAATTCAATAAACCGTACAACGCGAAACAGTGCTATCCTTGAATGAGTCACGACGTTAGAAGCCAAACGTGATAGAATTCGATTCAAGGTGTTTGACAGGATCAAGGTCAACCAGGAATTTTTTACCGTGAGTAAGAAGCAATTAGCTAATCCAGGTCACGAAGCGACTATCTTCGGAAGAAGACTCTCTTCCCACGTAGAGAAGAGACTTCGATGCTTCTCGAAGAGCAAAGTGCACGCGTGTACACTGAAAGGACTCTCTGAACTCTATATCCTGCAGTCTCGTTTTATATTAATATTCAAAAGAGCAGAACGTACGAGACTCCGGAAGAAGCCGGCGACTGTCCGAAGAAAGAGGAGGAGAAAAAAGGGAAGGACCCCGCGAGAACGGTGTTCCAGCCCCCTTTCCAGACATCAGAAAGTCAATACCGCTGCCAGAACGTGCTCCACAAAACGGATTTCGATTGCAGAGTAGCCCACACGGAATCTCATAGAGTTCCATTCGGTCGAAAGGCTGGGAAAAAAGGAAGAGAGGCAGAGGAAGGAAAGCAGCGATCATAGAAACAAATAGAGAATACCATGGTCGTTACGTGTGTGTACGTGTAGGTTCTCCGCGAGGACGACAATCCACGACAACGAAGAAGAAGATCGAGCACGAAAAGGAAGAGAGGAGAGGGTAAAAGAAGAACATCCAGAGAGACGAAGAAGGGAAAGACAAGAAGAAGGAGGGAAGAGAGTTGCGAGAAGAGGGCAAAGAGGGAACCGGGGAGAGTATAGAGGTATATGAGAAAACAATAGAGCTGATTTGCAAACAATAGAATAACGTTAAGAGTCGAGTATTATACGCCGTTGTTACTTCTTGTGCCATAACGCCGGAGAGCATATGCCCATTAATATTCAAAGGCGAAAATAATGTAAACGACACGACAAAAATCGGGGGAATAATTTCAATTCTCCCCGTATGGGATTCCAGCCTGGCGATACAACAACACCAAGGCTCGCGGCCCATTTCGTGTGTGTCTCTTCTCTTCTTCTTTAACCACGTACACATGTATATTTAGCTCGACCGAGAGCACCGAGTCACCGGTTACTTCGACTCCCATGGAACGAGAAAGCCATACTTTTCCGTGAATTTCCCACCGAACCGCCTGTTCGTCCGATGACGGCTCTTACTGTCGATGGGGTTCGCGAAACCGAGTTCTCCAATTCTCACAATTTCGTTTACGGGTACGTTTCACGTATCGATCGCGACGAATCGAAAGAACACGATGGTAGATAGCTGTGTCGCGATTATTAGAATTAATTTTCCAGAAATAAACGGATTCGGAAGTTCTCGTTTATCGGAATAAAGCGAGCTCGAATATGCCTGCTGAATGCAGGGTGTGTCGAAGGATGGTGCAGAATGTTAATTGTTCTTTTAGAAAGTTAATTCCACGAGGAATGACGTAATCCTTTTTGACTAAACCGAACCGCCAACGTTTTCAGAATTCCACGTCGCTATTGAATCTGTTTTCGATCGCGCGATTAAATGGCAATAACGGACGATCGATTTTCTGTACGAGCCGCGAATCGTACTAGCCTTTCGGTTATTAGAAAAAGGAGTCTTGGCAACACTGAATCAGAGTTTCAATTTGTATCGTTGCACGTGTCTATTTTTCGCTGGCCGAGTCGACGCGTTAACACGGAGATTGATTGAAATTTGTGACAAATGGAGTATTCATCGGTCACGGATCGCTCAAATATTGCGACATCGAGCATTTCATAAAATGTTCAATCATTCAATGAAGCAAATAGACGGCCCGACCGATACGAGAAGGTTCTCTTTCGAGAGCAACGGAATCCACCTACCATCGATTTTCTGTTCAGCTTCAAGGATGCACGGTGCTCGAGAATCGACTCTCGGGGCAATTGTTCCACGGAGCAGCCTCGCGATAAGATAAATCACGAGATGCTGTCCAAATTTCACGGGAAAGCTTTATTGCTCGCAGCGAGATCGTTCCGTTTCTCTTTTTTCTCTCTCCGTTCGACCGTTTGATTGCGACGCGAATCGAGGGGAAAGGAATCATTGTTCTCGATTATTTTATGGGAACACGTACATATACGTCTGAACGAATTAAGGTCAAAGAATCAGGGACCTCTCCTCTTTCCACCCGACGGATTATGCCAATGGATATCGCGACAAATTATTGATGGTCGTTCGTGGTTCCAGGAACCCCTGAATTATTCTAAACTTGCTATACTACACGTTTTCCGGTGGAATGCCAGACTTTACGACTCGACGACGAGTCATCATCGACTCATCAAAACTTCTGTCGGTGATTCATTCTCTATTGCTTTCGACGTTATTATAATTTCATTCTGAATAAATTTCTAGCATTTGTTTTGCTTTCAAAAACGCCGGATAATAAAGAGGAAAAGTGATTAAATTTTTACGATCCGCCTAATTTGATGGAACATCTGACCGAACGTGATTGAATTCTACGCGCGAATTTACGATAATAAAATTGTGATTCGATAGCGTGGAATCGAGTATTCGCGTACAAACCGAGGGTACTAAAATATCGATGATACCTCTTGAAAAATATTTCCGTTAAACACACGCTGGAGAAAAAGAATCAAGAATTAGGTAAGGATAGAAACGATTTCACGGATCGTTAACACGCCTGCACCGATCATCGATGCTGTATCTCCTCTACATGTTTTTCTTGGACGTGATTCAGTTGCGCGAAATAAGTTAAGTAACATCATTTCCTACAATTCCCAACATGGATAGATTTCTTAAAATATTGTCCAACTTTAGCAAACTATTACAAAATCCTAATCTAGAATAGATAATTTAAACGACAAACAGAATCTTCCTCGTATAGCCTTTCGATTATGGATGATTTTCTAAAAATAATTCGAGTATGCTAATAATTGTAAACGGGGTCAAAAGTTCCAAGTGAAATTATTGGCAGAACTTCTGAGGACGCGAAATCAAAGGAATTAAGAAAATCGTTTAAACAATGAGCAAACTTTCGCGTCGAATTAGCGGCACTCGTGCTTGGTCGCCGGTCACCAATAAATTGAGATAATTATTTTCATATAATTGGCTGATGACGCGCGCCAACCGTGGATCTTGGCGTTGGTCGTTAAAGTGGAAACAAGTTGAACGAAATCCAACTGCTGTAGCAGATGCTCGCGGCATGTTGACAATCCAGTGTCACGTCATCATCAACAGTCCCGGTGTCCACACCAGCTCGGCTATAATCGATCTACGTCTTCCAGTTCTCGACTTAAGCTTCATTCACATCGTTAACCCTTGTATAATAGTCATTTACCGCATTCACCCATTTTCAGTTAGGACATAAACACTATGTTGCAGACAGCGAACGCTGATATTCTATTAGACGCTTTGAGCAAATGAAAGGTCCCTCTCCACGACAGTGCAATTTACTAGCGATAGAATTGCGATATTTTGAAAATTTCAGAGACGGAGGTAAAAGAGAATCTAAACGTTTACTCTCGAAAAAAGTAAAATCACTCGAGTTAAGTTCTAACATCGTTAATTAAAAATATGTTAAATGATCAAAAAATTGAAGAAGCTAGAAGTTGTTTAAAATTCCGTCGACCGAAAAATTTTCCCGCAAATCGAGTTTCTACAGCGTTCTCGATCGAAATTGTGAAACGACGTAAAAAAAGGAGCGAAGAAAGAAAAAAGAAAGAAGCGAAACAATCCATTTCCGACGCGAGGGTGAGAGGAGCATGGGGACACATCGAAACGCTCCGCGGGAGATGAAAGGGACCCTCGTCTAATTAATTTGTTCGACTGACTCACCCTCGACTCTTCAGGTTCCTCCCTCCTGACGTTTTGGAAGAGGACGCTGCCCATCTGAACCTGAAGATTCTGCTGCAGCAACTGCGCCAATTGCGGATTTTGCGACAAAATCGCTGGATTCTGTTGCAATAATTGAGCAAGAGCTGGATTTTGCACTAGAATCTGGCTCAGGGGTGAATTCGTCATCGCGTGAATGGACTGTTGCTGCTGCTGTTGCTGTTGATGCGATTCTTGCTGCTGCTGCTGCTGTTGTTGTTGCTGTTGTCGATGCTGCTGCTGCTGCTGTTGCTGTTGTTGTTGTTGCAGGCTGGGAGAATTGGTATTCGATGTTTGACAGGATTGGGACAGGTTACTAGGGGGTGGATTGTGTCGGGGTGGACTTTGGGGAGTGTGAGGCGGCGTCGGAGGGCTTCCTGGCGCCATCGATGAAGCATCCTTCTCTTCTTTTACCTTCACCTTCCCTGCAACAAAAAAATGTCCCCATCGTTAGTTGAAACGTTATAATTAATTTATTTTTCGTTGTTAAAAGGTGTACACGTAACTAGCGTATAATGATTGCGATGTATAATTTTAATTTGATTAATTCGAGCAAATTTAAATGGCGATTTAACGAAATATCGATATTGCTACTGCGTAATTATCTCCGCGTACCGAAGTCACCCTCCACGATTCTTTGGGCTTCCTGCTCCCACCGACTACGCGACGAGACTGACTGAGGGACTTTGATATTTTTCGAGATTTCGAAAAGCACGGTGGGGAGCAGCCGTCTCGATTGGTGGAAACACGGAAGACGGATCAACGAATGGAAACGCTTTGAGACGGCGGAAAGAAGGGAAGGTTTTTTTTCCTGTTCCACGGTGAAGATCGTGAAATTGAGACGTCTCGATTTTGAAAAAGACGTAATCGACTCTGGCGAGCAGGTACACCTTTTTCGTAGAGTCACTTGCAATTAATTTTATCCTACATTCGCATCGATTAAGTACTATCGATATTCCACGAACATTTGGAAATTAAAACGTAATTATTAACGTTGAAAGTTTCTTCATAGTTGTACGAGTAATAGCAAGTCAGGAACGAGATAATTTATAAACACGACAGAACCTAATTTAAAATAGGGAACCCGAAATTCGTCAAGTTGACGAGATTGCTTGTTTTAACGTTAAAGAAAAATGAAAAACAGCTGCGAATTAAAAGAGTGTTTCCCCTATTTTTTTCCAGCAAAGGAGACAAACGAATCCGGTGCATCCTGACGAGGGTTTAAACCGGTGCCAGCAGCTTTTAATACCCCCGGGTGCGAAGTCTACGATTCAGGTAGATCTGGCGGGTTTTATTCGCGCGAAGAGGATCCATGAGAACATCAAACTCCATCCATAAGGCCTCTCATATACCTGCAGCTTTCGACCTGGCCAGTCTCGTGGTCGCGAAAAAGAATAAAGCAGCGAAAGAAAAGAAGAGATTCGGAAATCTGAAAAAAGCTGCAAGGGTATTTTAGACCCCCCGTTTGGATCGATGACGTCTATCGAAATTACGCAACCCCTTAGGCTTCACTTTTACCTCTATCCCTATTTTATACCTTCGGAATTTTTTTTTTTATTACGGAACGATTCTAGGCGTCGTTTAACGAGACGGATACGAAGCTCCTTCCTCGATGGCGATGAAAAATGACTATCCTTCGTGATAATTTAGGAGAGACGGGCGTTGTGGGAAAACGCTTCGGGACTAGTCTGAGGGGAGTTGACTTTTTAATTGGACGGAACGATATTTTAAGTTTGTGGTAGAATTCGTTATAAATAGAAATCTTTCGACTTCTAAATAATAAGATTAAATACGACGTTCTCTAATATTCCGAAAGAAAAGAATAGCACGAAGCGGAGGCGATATAAAAAGGAAGATTTAAAAAGTGACTTGAAATGATTTCGTACACGTTTCAGCGGTAAATGGATTCTACAGGAGATACTACCCCTGAAGGATCGCATGCACGTTCGCGTTATGCTTGTAGATCCTGGGCCGGATCCTTAAATTGACTCGATTTTTAAGGTCCAGGCCCGAAGAGGATCCTGCACCGCGGGGATCCTGTGTTTCTCTTCCTTTCGCGACGTTCTCCCTTTCATCTTTGCTCCACATCGTCTCGACTGGACGATTGATAAAAATCAAGTACACAGAGAACGTGGTGGAGAAACGAATCGGGGGTTGAGGGGGAGAGGGTTACGGTGAATTCGGAACGGGAAAGTAATTGTCGTAGTTAACGGGATAGCAGAAAAATTTACGAGTTAAATTGCCTGTTGTGTTTCGGCGAATCGTGTGCACCTGGCGAACAAGAAATTCTTGCCGATTGTGTAGCTATTACTTTTGTGAAAAATTTATGAGGACAAGAGAAGTACGGAAGAATAAAAGTTTAATGCATCGACTCTTTATATCTCGTGTTTAATTATTCTGCACGTCGTCAGGAGAATCTCTTGTGACTAGAACGTAATCTCGATAGAACGTGGAACGAAAAACCGTGACGGTGACATTCGACCCTCTCACCCCGTCAAGTTGCGATTGTAAAAAACGTCCCCGATCTTGGGCCCATTTTTACGAGATACTTAAGCCTTTAAATGGTCCAGCGAGAAAGCTCTCCGATTTCGATATTCGGCCGAGAAATCGGTTAACCCCCGATATATATCGTGGTGCAGGGGGTCGGTCGCGATTTTTCTCAGGGGTTAAATCGAGCGTGGCCCCCAAAAACTCGCATTTTTTTTCCCTACTCTCTTGACGAGTTCGCAGGTAGCCGCAGCTACCTGCACGCGCACGTCCACGAGGGGGTAACCCGGAAAAGTATCCAACGAAAAAAACTGGAAGAAAATAAAAAGAAGGGGAGCCAATCCGTGGTGAAAAAAGAAAAGATTACGCAAGAAACCTCGGAAAGGGGAAGAAAAACACGTAGTAGTGGCTCACCCCTCGAGGAAAGCTTCTCCGTCTGTTCGCTCTCTCGCTCTAGCAGAGAACGCCAGGGGTAAGAAAACAGGGTAAAAGTGAGTTAATAGTCGGTAAAACGGTATTCACCCCGTGACCCGTCAGGGTTACCCGGCTCCTTTAGGGCTGAGCCTTTTTTCTTCTTCCTCTTTTCTCACTACCCTGTTCCCGGTTCTTCTTCCGGAAGGGGTCGAACGGGAACCTCGAGGGGTAGAAAGGGATCATCGTTCTCTTTCTCCGCGTTGCTTCAGGGATGGAAAACCGAGACACGAGACACTCCTTTCGCTGAGAAATTTGAGTAATCGTTCCGGGACCGTCGTCGAGTACCGCCGAAAGGAACGGAGGGATTTTTTTTTCTTTTCTGGAAGGGAAAACGTGATCGGGTAGCGGCGTGAGAGAGAATATTACACGTGGAAATCGCGATTTTATCGGTCGATATGACTCGGCGAATAGAAGATTCTGTTCTACGATTCTTGCAAATGTTCAATCTTCCTCTAGAAGCAAAAATTTAATTCCCAGAAGAAAGTAAGACTTCGATTCGATTGTTCGAATCAAAATTTTCGATTGTTCGAAAACTGTCTCGGCAATTTCCAATCGAAATCGGTGAAATGAACGAAACCCGAACGCCGATAAAATTACCGGTTAAAGTTGGCGAAGAGAAAAGAGGTGGAGAATATTCAGCCGATAAACAGGATCGTGGAATTTTATACAGTGTGTTCCAGGAACGCGTGAAATCTCGGCGTTTCGATGGCTCGCGCGAAAAAACGATCGTTGTCTTCTCACGGTAATATCGCAATTAGCGATAAGTCCGTGCGATCTCTGTCAGGCCAGGCCACTCCGTTTTACGAGGAATCGCATCGTTATTCGTGATTTAGGTATTTGAAACGCGCCAGGACATCGGATTACGAGCGCTCGAGGCTCTCGGCTTTCTTGTTTCCCATTAGAATCGAATTTCGTACGTATCGTCGTTGTAATGAAACACGCGAGCGTTTATAGTATTCCTCGCGTTACGCATGCCTAACGTGCATACGTGGAAATCGCAACACGGATTTCACCGTCTACAAACAAACACCATTTCCCACGCGACTTCGTTCTTTCATTCATGATTCACGCATTCCCAGTTAACTATTTTCTAAACAACATTTTCGGGATTAACGCTGTCGCGATAAAATCCTCTGTCTCGAACAATTTCATTCGAAAGTCAGAGATGCAATTTATGTTCTACGCTGCTCAAGTAATTTAAACGACCTAATCGATACTAATGCAGATAATAATTGAAAGGTAGACAGTTCAAGGTAGTACCGAATGTTCCAGCTAGAATTCTCTGTATCGCGTTCGAGGCATCCTCGCCCAAATCAGATTACACTGACCCGGTCACCGGAATTAATAATTTAGCTAACTGAATTTAGCCGACTTGCCCGTAAAAATAGAACTCTTCGAAAGTTCGTTGACATCGTTTCGTCCTAAATTACGTGCGCGGACCTCTTGCCAGCTAATGCACCGTAACCTGTTCTTATTTTGTTCAAAATGCACTCGCAAATACACAAATCATCCGTTACCGAGAAAACGGCGTTACCATACATCATCGCGTACTCGACGTTTATACCGAACCGGCAGCGACGAAATCAAATCCTAATCCGTCCGATTACGCGCGAAGCAACGGACCGGGATAATTAAATTGCATCGCGGGATCTTTCTCGCCTTGGAGAACGTCGAATTCCATTTGACGCTGCACGAAATAGGGGATCAAGTATCGTTTGTCAGAAAACTTGAGAAATAACAGGTCGAACGCGGCACTTCTTAATGGTGGTTCATTTGTTAACCGGCTAGGATATAATCCAATAATTTCGCGGTTGGGAAAAATGAAAATCGATTCGAGTGGTCTGGCACAGACACCTGTTGAGGGTTCAAGGTCACCACGATAAAAGACTCGATCCATCAAAGGGTGCAACACGGGTTGGCTAGGATCACGATGGAAAAGTCGAGCTCGGACGAATCTCTGTAATAAATCGTCGATTCTCCATCGGCTCGTCATCGCCGACGACGATATATCGACCGAGGCGAATCGACTCTCGTCATTAAAGCGTCTCGACACGGTTGCCGCGCATCTTCGTCTCGAAGGGACGTTCGAGGGATCGAAAAGCCTCGTGGATGTGGAAAAATGATCGTTTAATTATTGCACGGTACCTCGCGGAGGAATTTCCGTCCCTTCGGGTTCCGAGTGTCGCTGAAAAATTTCAACGCGTTTAAAAGGTCGAAAACATTCCATCGAGCCTTTTATCGCATCGAATACGACACACCGCGATCGAGTTACCGGCGTTAAAAACGCGAGTATTTTGATCGATAATATACGAGACAAAATAATCGACAGAGGAAGAAAACAGCGTGGAGAAGAACGAGAGGCTTCTCGAATTCGCGATCTCGATCTCGCGAATCTCGCAGAAAAATCGCCACGGGGAGCGACTCGCCACGAATTAATGAGCCATCTGCGTAATTTTTCTTTGGC